CTGCGCCTCCCCCGCTGCCCGGGCGCGCGCTGCCGCGCACCTTCTGCCTGGACCGAAGCCGCATCCGCCTCCCCCTCGCTCAGCTCCTCGCCAGCCTTTAAGTAAACAGGCTGCGCTGTGCGCTCTAATTTAGGAGGTCTTAATTTAGACTACACATTTCTTCACGACTTAACCCCCAGTACGGGCTCGTCTTTGATTTTCTAAAATAGCCAGTCTGTCGTATTTAAATCTGGAGACATCACTGTACCCTTAAAATATTTGCAGCGCAGCTCTCGAGTTTATGCTTTCTGTGAACGTGCTCCATGCCGATTGCGCAACGCGAGCCAGGAATAACGACTCGAGACGCGAATGGTCTTGGCGTCCCTCGTGCACAGGCTAAGGGCCCTTCGCTCTACTGTTCAAGTGATAAACTACCTTTTTTTACGTTTGATCTACAGATAACCACCTAATGTTTTTATACACACCCAGAGGATGCTAGAGGCTCTGGGGGGAGGGTCTCTCTGCTCAGCTTGGAGATACCTGAATCTTTGTCATACTGGAATGACAAGTGAACGATGCATCTTAATACTAAAAGGCACCTTTCTGCCAGTTCTCAGCATTCGTGTACCAAAGTTCAAACCTTGGGAGGAAGAGGGTTGTTTGTTTGTATTAAATGGATCGAGACATTCCATGGGTAATGCTCAATAAGTATCATACACTGTTACTTCATTAGCTCCTGTGCCACTGGAATATTCCCAGACAGAAATCTGCATTTAAAAGCTAGTAAAAATTTAAAAGAGGATACTGAACTGCTCTATTGATCCTTATTACTTTGTGCACAAACCTAATTTTCTGTCCTTAGCATTTTAGCTGTATTTACCTGACAGATACTAAAAGCCCACTCACTGGATGGGTTTCTGGTGTAACTTTTGAAGAACTGGTTACTAACTTTTCCAGGGCATACATTCAGGCACTATTTTAGAGGGGAAAGGTTCCTCTTCTCTATAGTGGAAAATAGAATTAAAACTTATCATAGTAAGTCTAACACTATGGTTATGACAGAGTCAGCTGTAAAGGAATTTTTATTTCCTGAATGTAAGCTGGCTATATTCACATTAAAACGTTCAGGAGGGTGAAGTACCGTGCCTTAAGCATGCGTCTGAAATCTGACAAGCAGAGGCAAGGCAATTCTCTTGCTATTTAATTATTAGTTTTCTACTGGCAATTTACAGGTTCCTCCCTGGTGCTATGTAGGGCCATGAAAATGGTAGCCTAGATGTTAACTGAGCTTAACTCCTTGGTGGACTGCAGCTCTTTCGTTACATTCTGAAATACCTCTCTCCTATGATCTTGATACATTGCTTGCTGTTCAGTTAATTTGGCTATTTAAATTTAAGTCCTGCCCATCATCATTTGGGGTGCACCTATAGAATTCACCTTATTTGCAACCTCTTATACTTTGAGCAGCTTTTTAAAAATCTGTCTGCCCTAAGCAATTATCTTAAGTTTTCTACAACAGAGTAGTCCATTTCTGGTTGACAGTATGTGTAGAAACAGATCTCAAACTCATAAAAGCATGCTTAGTTTTATATAATAACCCTAAAAAAAATGATTCCTATAATGAAAAAAAATCTTCTGGGGCCTATATTTGAGCACACTTTTAGCTTGTGACTCTGAGGAACAGTGTACTGCACTGTGGAACTTTGGTGTTCAGTAAACAAGACCCGATTCCTTAAAAAACTAATCGATTTAAATTCACCTTCCCTTGAGATTGTTTTTGCTAGGTGTCACTTATTCAGCATTTATCTAGTTGCAAAGCCAAAGCACTTAAGGGATGTAATTGCCACTAGAGACTCAAGGTCTTGGGGTTGGGGGGACAACTATTTTGAGTTCCAGAAAGTACACTAAGATCATTTAGGCTTTTTAAAGTTCAGCTGGAAGTCTGTCTGAAAGGCTTAAATTTTGAAGTGGGGTGGCTCTCTCCCGGGTACTTATATTAAACATAAAATAATCATTAAAAAAGGAAATTACATCACATTGTCAAATAAGGAACAGCTAGCTGGGGCGGATGACTTGTAGTGCAAAAATGTGCCCCTCCTCCTATGAATTGCTTCTGAGATTCATTAACGATATGTGGTGGCAAGGTGAGCAAAAATAGGTTGTGGATTTAAGGTAGCCACACTTTCTCACAAAAGTGAGGTGGTGGTCTTAGTTTTAATTTTCTTATTTTTTTTCCTTAATTTCTTATGAGCAGTGTATAATCTGTCTTGTCAAGAGTGCTGCCTTTATAAAACACGTCCAAAATTTGCACAGGCATTCAAAAATCTTTATAGCACACTGCATATGCATCCATTAAGTGAAACATTCTAGGACATGCTTGGTATATTGGTATGCCCAATAGACCAAAGTGCTATATTATGGCACTAATTGGCCTCAAATATTGCATAGCATCCAGGAAAAAGAAGGAGCAAAACAAACTAACCAGATTTTCTGTGATGACAGTGAGCTAAGAGAGATGCAGATGCTTCTTAACTTCTAAAGAGAGGATTACTGTTGCTGTAACACAGGTTTTTAGTGATAACTGTCAGCATGAAAACTCTATATGTGATGTTTCATATAACTCAATTTCAGAATATTCTTTTCACTTACAAGATTTTTCTGATTATTCACATATACATTCCTCACTGTGCTGATACCCTACCGTTTAAGGATACATTTGACCATTTAACCTAAACTTGCTCATCAGCTTAGGTCTAAAGGTATATTTGGCCCTCAAAATCTTCCTTCAATCTCATTATCTCAGGTATTTAAAGTCATTTATATTTGTTAATATGGGCAAGCATGAATATTTACAAATTCTCTCCTTTGCAGAGTTACCTTCCTCTACAGTAGATGTTGATAGCTTTATAATGCACTCTCAAGCCTTTCAATGGCAGGGCTTGTGTCTTTAAGCCTAATAACTGTAGCAATTACTAGCTATAGTCTTATTTTGTACTAACTCAGTTTTTTGAATAATTCTGAAACTGTAACATCTTCGGGAAGTGCTGAAAGTGCTTCTAAGTGCCACAATCCATGCCTAACTAGGCCAGACAGGCAGAGTAACTGGGAAACCCGTTGCGAGTAACAACTTTTGCAGATGAGTAGCAGAAAAGCATGAAAGATCCAAAGTGTTGCCTGATTGCATAGTGTCCATATTCTTCAGCAGATATAGTTTGATTTTTATGTATAAGTTTAGATCTTTAAATCTTTAAGGAGGCAGGATTGGACCAACAGTTAAGATGGAAACTGTTGGGTTATATTTTCATGACTTATGCAAATTGATTTCTACCAATTACTAGAGAATAGCAACATCTTGAAATACGTAATGCTCAACTTTAGTAAGACCACATTATATAAAATATAGAGTTCATACTCCTCAGTTACATATCGTTATGACTCCCACTTATTTTTCATGTTTGTTCAAAAAAGCATATGTATGTTTTGAAATATAAACATTAACTCTCTGGACTCAGAAAGTAACTAGCTGAATTAGTGAAGGACATATGCAGTTATATAGCAACTTTACCTCTTCATATTCCTAGCTTATGGCATGGAGGACAGTTTCATAACTCAGTCCATTCATAACTCCCCATTGAAACACCAAGGCAAGTCACCTTCTATGACTTCACAAAAGGGTTGTTGTTAGAAGCAAGCAAGTTTTAAGACTGCAAAATTTGTCTCTATTTTGAAAAATAGTGTTGATTGAAACAAGTGAAAATTACCTTTTCCTAGAGTGTGTAAATATTTAATTCCACTTCAGGAGTTGAGCTTAGCATTCCAGAGGGATTTCAGAGAGACCATTGTGCAACTATCAGCCAGGATTTAGACAGCATTCAGGAGGCTGACATAGTAATTACTAGCAGTGGTTTTGGCATGGGATCTGATGGAGGTTGGGCCTCTTAGCGAGCCCTGCAAGGGCTGGATGTTATCACAGCAAGTGCATTACATGTGCTTTCAAACAACAGCAATGCCATCCCTCCCCCCGCCCCCAATCTCATTTCTTTTTATATCATAATCAATGTGTCTCTCCTTTATGGTCTTGTCAGATCTTGTATGTAGGTGAGGTGGAGTGCTATCATTTGCTGACTAATCAGTGTTCTGTATCAGTCTTTTCAACTTCTGCCTTGCATATGACTCCACAAAAGATTCTGAAATAGAAGTGCAAACCCCTTCATAGTCCCATAGAAGCGCAAGTTCACTAATTCGGTCTCCAACATTTCTTTTACACATTAATTACTAATAGTCCAGGGACATTCAGAGATCTGTGAGGCACGAACATCACTGCTCTATATAGTGTGAGCTGATATGATTGGCGTTTTTATTTGCCAATTATTTTAACATGATCTGAACCATATAGTACCATTTTAGAATTGGTACTATATTCCATTGTGCTGCTTAAAGCTTTTTGACAAAATGGATTTCTCCAGTCTTCTGTTCCACATAGGAAATGGTTCTGCCTGGACTTAAAGAACTGGAAGGAAAAAAATCTGCTGTAATTGGAATACTGGAGATTTTGAACTCATTTGCTAGTCAGAACTATGTTATTGCTCCCTGCAGTTGGTATATTTATATTTAATTTTACTTTGAAAGTCTGTAATTCCCATTACTGGGAAGGCTCCGACTTTGTGAGATGCAAAAATTACCTAGCTTAAGCTAGTTTAAAATGTTTGTCCTGAAATATATACTCTTTACTGGAATAGAGGGCTGAAATCAATATGGTTAAGACTAACGCTGTACTGCAATAGCAAGAATGCTAGATTGGGTCTTATTCAGTTCTAGTAATGCTAATAGCCTCCTGTCTAGAATTCTTACGTGACTGGCTAAAATACACACTAGAAAAACACATCTGTTAAAAGTATAATCACTCTTAATCATGGTTAAGAACATCTTCGCACTCTTTAAAAAAATGTGATTAGGTCTTGTAAATTATAGACATACATAGAGTCAGAAGCTATTTTGCAATGCTGTTTGTTTGGAAGATCAATACAGGACCAAATGCAACATTTGGAAAAGCATAGCAGAGAAGTTCTTGCTTAAACATTTGTTTATACAAGGCAAATGTTGGTGTTAGATTTCAAATTAATTCTGGGACACTTGGTTCCAGTGCTGCTTAGAAGCCTGCTCCTCCCTCTTGTGTTGCAAATGGGTATAATGAATCTTTCTTCATAAATGAAGAGGAAGATTAAACATATTCTGCATAGAAGTAGCCTATTTTGGAACAGAATTATTTTAAGCATAAGCTATTTCTTGTTTCTGTACCTCATTATCATGCAGTACCATACTGCCAAGGGGTTTTCTTGATGCATACAGTGTGCTTGTGATGGAGCTTACCCCGTTGTTGGTTGACTTTTCTTTAGATGGAATTTTTCTTCAGAGAGAAAAAATTTTGCATTAGAAACTGGTCATATTCTTGATTCTCAAGAAGTATACCAATTAAACTGTAGTGTTTTGTTTTTTAAAACAGCTATATAACACCATATTGTACCTGCTGAGTTGAGGGTATTTGTGTAAATAGTTGAAGCATAGACCCAGAGAAATCCTTGCTTAGTCTTGGACTTGATTTCTTTTGCCTTCAGCAGAACGTTTATTGTTTTTACATTGATTTTTCTGAAAGAATGTATTCTGAACTTCCCAAACAAAACTGAGTCAACTCGCTTGTTGAATTTCAAGCAATTGCCAGCAGTTTTTTTCTACTGTAAACGAGTGAGATAAAGCATTGTTCGCACGTTCAGAATAAGTCTGAATAGAGCAGACTGTTTAAGAGTGTTTCAAGATGCTAGATTTATTTGCTTGAAGTAAATAGCGAGATGAAAACTTGAGGATGATTCTAAGTATCTTTATGCTTCAGCTTATTAATAATAGTGACTGTTATATGAAAGGAGCTTGGAGAGTGATTGGACTTCCGATTTAAGCAGTCAGTAATTTTGTCTATTGGAGCTGTTTTTTGAGAAAAGGCCATTTTTTAGTCTATTTAAGTTGTTAAAAATTGTATTAGGCTATTTTATGTTGGCTGCACTGCAAATTAGAAACTCACTGGCAAAAAGAACAGCTAAAGATAGATTTGTCTACTAAAAAATTATAAACAGATGGCCTGAATAACTGGCAGTTTATGTACAAGAACCGAACTTGTTAATGCACAGTTCCTGTATATCACTAGTTTTACAGAACATTTATCTCATTTCTGTTCAGCTTAATTCTGTAAAAGAACTTAATCTAACTTGTTTTTCAGTTTTATAATCAGAGATGAAACTGATTTGTTAAAATTTTCCTATTGGCCTGTATTGGGACAGAAAGCCTTATTATAACAGAGTTGATTCCTTCCTTGAAGTACTGAAATTTCAGTTGAGAGCATATTTGCATTTCTGATATTTATGCCCTTCTCTTTTTTGAAGGGAATGCAAGCTGCAGGAAGCCTGTCAAGACTGACTTTCTAAGGTTGGGAGACATTACCATAGAGCAGTACACAATGTCAACTGCAGGAGTTGCTGCACAAGAGATGAGAGTCCCATTAAAAACTGGATTTCTTCACACTAGCCAAGGCATGGGGAGTCTGAAAACATATTGGGGTAGCCACAGTGGATTTGAAAAGTAAGTGAGGGGAAAATTTATCTATTGCGTTTTCAAGTATAAGATAAGAGTCAAGATTACTTGTATCAGTAGTGATCTATGGTTCATTTAGAGTGAAACATTTTCTCCTCCCCCCCCCCTTTTTTTTTTTCTTTTTTTTTAGTACTTTCTTTAATGTGGACCCTATAGCAGTGGCATATAATTTGAATTCATCAGCAGAGCAACATTTACCATCCAGTGGTAAGTATAATGAAGATTTTAAAACATATCCATTTAGGTACTGTAAGGGATGTCTTGGAAGACAAGGAATCCTCTTTGCTAAGACACTAAGGGCTTTCTCATTTTGGATATAAGCCTGCCCTCTGGTGACAGAATGCAAACATTTCTTTTCAAGAAAACACTACTTTTTAAAAACACTCAGACTATTTCAAATGTGTGATCAATAAAAACTTTTCTTTGTACTTACAAGCTTCTGAGTTGCTGTTATACTCCTGACAACAAGCTCTTTAGGAAAATAGCACTTTTATGTCACAGTTAACTGGAGCACTGACCTAAAATGATAACATAATCACCTGCTCTCCTAACTAAGCATGTGCTTATTACAGATCTCTTCTAGTCGTGCAGTTAAGTTTTGCTTCTGGAATCATTAAGCAGACATTCTTACTGTTGCATTGGAAGGAACTAGATAGTTGAATATGTAGTGGCAAAGTGATATTTAGAAGCGTATTCTAAGACTTTCTTACCTTTTTAGGGCACTCTTCAGACCATACTTCCATGAACGATCACAGCTTTGCTGAAAGTTGCATCCAAGTCCCATCTCAGAAGTCCAGTCCAGCTCCTGTAAGTCCCAAAAATGAACAGCCAATTTCAAGATACGAAGACCATCTTGTTCCTGGCTTTAGTACACTCTCATTAACCATGGGCTGTGTTTCTTCAGAAACACCCCACATGCCCATAAAAAATGGGCCACTTCAATTTGCATCTGCATCTTCCAATGACCGCAGCTCCAGGCCGTTACCTCCACTGCCTATTTCTGAGGATCTTACTACAGACGAGGTCGATAAAGAAGTGGAATTCCTGACTAGCTCAGACACTGACTTTTTGTTAGAAGATTATGAACTTCCTCCTTTTAAATCCAGTGCCCCAAGCAGGCGGAGCTTTAGGGGCTGTGGACAAATCAATTATGCATATTTTGATGCTCCAGCAGGACCAACACCAGAAGATGCCAACCCTGCACAAAATCTGAATGGATATGTATCTGATATTTATCCTCCTCCACAGCAGCTGCATCGACGTTTGCGAAGATCCCATTCAGGGCCTGCTGGATCACTCAATAAACCAGTGGTGAGACTATCTGGACACTTAAACAGGTCTTCTCCAAATTCTGATGAGGATAAACCAGAGATTCCACCAAGGGTTCCCATACCTCCAAGGGCTCTCAAACCAGATTACAGAAGGTGGTCAGCAGAAGTTGCTTCTAGTGCATACAGCGATGAAGACAGGCCTCCCAAAGTGCCTCCAAGGGAACCTTTTTCCCACAGCAATTCCCGTACACCAAGTCCTAAAAGCCTGCCATCATACCTCAATGGGGTTATGCCCCCTACCCAGAGTTTTGCACCTGATCCTAAGTATGTCAGCAGCAAAGCTCTACAGAGACAAAATAGTGAAGGATCTGCCAACAGGGTCCCTTGCATTCTTCCCATTATTGAAAATGGGAAGAAGGCCAGTTCAACACACTACTATCTGCTGCCTGAAAGGCCTCCATATCTGGACAAGTATGAGAAATTCTTCAGAGAAGCAGAAGAAACTAGCTCTAACTCAGAGGTACAGTCCTGGTCTGGTGACTGCACAGCCACTTCAGCCCCAACAAAACTGGACTCAAAAGCTAGAATGGACATAGCTGGTCATCTGAAACGAAAACACTTGTCTTACGTGGTTTCTCCATAGTCTCTGGGAGCACAACTTAGCTCAGGTGTTCTGGATGAAGCAGAACTTTACCATGTTACAAAGTTCTTAAGATTCTCAAATAATGAAGTAGGACCAGTTTGTCCTCTGAGAACTGTAAAGTGGATGGTAAAATCCTATTATGCTGCATATCTCGGATATGTTTAAGACTGTTTTTCTTGCTTTAGTCTGTAAAGTTGAAAACCTACAGAGATTCCATAGAAACATATCAAGGGATAACAGTCACAGTTGGCCAGTTATATGCTACCCTAGATTAACACATAAGCAAAGCTATATTTTTTTTTGATAGTGAGTCACGTAAAACTGACAACAGAGCAGATAATGCAGTAGTTTTTTTTTAATCGGGCATTTCCAAATTTTCTTACGCACGGTAACGCTGCTGAGAACAAGACTCTCTTCTTTCACTAGGACATGCCAACCTGGTTAGAAGGTAACTGCAGAATCTGAGATCCACTTTGAGACTTGACAAGCATATTGGAAATGTATTTAGACTGATGAGTCTATTTGACAACTTAATTGGACACTAGTAGAATGTTTAGTGAGGTAGCTTGGAACAGAGTTAAGCTTTGTGGATTCTTACAATTGTTAGAGACACTTGGCTCAATTTTGCCATTTCTCCTAGGAGAGACTTGGACCAGCTACTGCTAAGCCTCTGCTGCTGCTCTTTTCCTGATGGGTCCTAGGAAGGGGTGAACGTGTCCTGAAAGTGGCAGAGGATATGAGCAGCTATATAGTTGCTAATAAATAGGCAGTAACAATTATATGCTCATCTAGAGTGCGAAATTCTGACTGTATTCAAAACAGAAACACAACACAAGCTGGTCTTGCGTTTTGGTTTCTATTCAGTATTTTAGGGGAGGAGGAGGAGGGTATGAGAAAAACATGATTCCATTCATGAACAGTGTCAGTCCCATCTCTCTGCTTCAGATGCTGCTTCTTTCTGTTTAATTTTTTCCTCATTCTGCCTCAGTGATCCACTAAAATTCATTGAGGTGCCAGATTTGTACATTAGGAGTTTCTCGTGCTCAGTTTGATTACATTTATCCTCTTACAGATAAGCACAAGAGAAAAGGTGCTCACTAATGGAGGTACAAAAGATAAATGTGTTCCTCCTAACATAAATAAACAAGCTGTTTACAGTTTAAACTGCTGAATGAGATGTTTGAGCTATTTTAAAGCTTACTTCTTATTTGTTTTAGTACAAACTAAATGAAGGTGAAATACATGCTATAGAAATGCACTGATTTCTGCATTGTGTACAGTATTGATTAAAAATAATTCACTTTGTATTTTGAATATTGTCATGTCTGGAGTTTAATAAAGTTAAAATATACTTATTTATGATACATTTTGGTTTTTGCTTTATTGGGTAGTATATACAATTGTGCATTTGCATTTACTGGGCAATTTAAAGTGAAAAATAATGTGAAAAGGGAAACTAATGTTGAATTCAGTTTCTGTTTAATTAAAACTAAGACACTGGGCACGTTTGATCATTCATATTGCACAGATCTAATTTTAATTCCTCCTTACTAAAGTATCTGGTAGTTTGGTGTATATAGTTTTGTGTTGGCAATAAAGCGTCCTATAAAGTTGAGTTATGTGGCCCATCAAGAATAATCTTTGTTATTTCTGGAGTCACCCATAGCACGTTAGGTATCATCTTATAGACAAGAATGGGCAGTAGTTTTCCTGACTTCAATTTCTCACCTGTTAAAAAGACCTAAACTGGACATGAAAGGTGACTGAAGGGGGAATTGCTCATATTCTGAAGAAGAAAAAAGCTTGAGTGTAACATTCTCTTTTTTCCTCCCCTTTTTGCTCAACAGGAAAGAGGAATTGTCATTACTCTTCACAAAGCAAACATTTAACTACAGGATGGGAGCTATGGATACAGGTACTGAAGATACGAAGCATCACACAATTTTGATCTTTTAACTATGGATGCAGGTGAACAGTTGCCTTGATGTAGTTTTTCAGTAATACCTCATTTAGCTTTTATAGCTGCGGAAACTGCTAAGCTTTATTATGCAGAGTTTTTTTTTTTTTTTTTAAAAAAAAAACCTGCTGTGCCATGGCACTGTTAGGAACCAAAGATTAGCTTCCAGAGCATAAACTAGTGATCTAATCCTGTGCAGGGCTGTTGACTCTAATATTCATCCTACTGAAAGTCATTCCCCCCCCCCACTCCAAATTACTCTTAGGTACAAAATGAAATTGGTATTTGCAACCTTCCTACTAAATCAGAGTGGTTTTAACCCTGTGTCCCCAAAAACACCTTCTCAGTTACACAGGCACTGTTGCAACAAACAAATCAATGCTACTAAACTGCAGCTAGTTCCTTGTTGAGCATCAGACTGAGCACAGAATTCATTGTTGTCATTTCACTAGAATGCTGCCTAATGCTAATTGCCCTGCAAATCTCACCTTGCTTTTGTCTCTGGGTCCCACTCCATTCCTGATGCTTAAAAACTCCATTTTGACTTTGGTTCCTGTGCTTGAATTTACTGCTCTTTCCCCTTATTTGAAAGTCCTTGAATTCCCAAAGGCCTCAAGTCATAGTTCTGTCCTTAAAAGCATTTGCTCAAATTAGTAGCAAAGTCACTGTCACAAGGGAGGAGAAGCAAGCAACCTTCTCCAGCTACCACATAGTAATGGTCTCCCCTGCTTTCAGTTGTATTGTCTGTTTTGGCTCAAAATGTTCAAGGGAGACCCACACTCCCAGGCTAAGCACCTAGCATACATGCTGAAAAATGAACCAGTTTACAGGGAGGCCAGCCTAGGCATTCGGTATTACTGGATGCATAGGCATTGTATTTGGAGGAAGTGAAGCTGCAAGTTTGAGCTTTCTCTCTTGCTGCCGTATCTCATTCACTGTTCTCTTTGTCAGTACAGTGAAGGGATGAGCTCTTTCCTAACTCACCGCACTTCACACTGACTGGATACTATGGGTTAGTATTTGCACAGCACAAACCAAAGAGACTTCTGAAATGACTAACAGCTGAACGAGTCTTCATGATCAAATGGCATATTTGTTACAAGTTTTGGGGTTTTTTTTCCCCCCTCCTCCCCCCCCCACCAGGAACATACTTCCA